AATGGATGTGGCCATATTTGGAAAATGGCCCCATGGGAAAGAATTAATTATTTTTATTTTTATTTTATTTATTTAATTTAATTTAATTTAATTTAATTTAATTTATTTTATTTTTTGAGGAGGAGGGAAAGAATTAATTGAAGAGCAATATATAATAGCACTAAGGGGAGTCATAGGCTTTAGAAACCATTCAAGTAGCCCAATGTTGGACATGTCATCTCCACCATATTACATAACACATTTATAAAAAATAAAATATATAGTTTGTGAACTCTATTTGAGAGCAAATTAAGTTAAATGACGATATGGCATGTCTATTTGATAAATTTGACATCATATATGGTATAGAGTAGAGAAAAAACAAAATAATTATTTTATTATTGTTGGACGAAATAAAGTGACACAAGCGAGTTACTCCGATTTCCTTCTCCTAATTAGTTGTAACTAATAAGTAATATTCATCTCTAAGTCAAGTCGTTATCATGAAAATAATTAATTTCTCACACTTATCAACAAACAAATCAAATTGTTAAAAGAATATTATTCTTCTTATCACATAGAAAAAAGAAAACTTTTGACGTATTTCACGATGAATCTCTAAAAATTTATCAATATATTCCAATCGTGCCCTCGTGCAAATAGAATAGAAGTAACATTTTGCTCAAACATTGGAAAATTATAATTCATTAGCTAATTTGTTCACAAATTATCTAATTTCCAACCAAAACTTCGTTGAAATTGTTCGTTTGGAAATTTCCCGAAAAGCTAATCATTTGTTGTTGCATCAAAACATAGAAATGTTGACTAATCATTTCACCTTTTTAGTTGGAACTTTAGAACCTAAGAATTAGAAAACTATCAACTAGGTCATAATTGAACTAGGAAGAGAGTAATTGTGTATTGGAAATGAAACATAAGAGTTTAGGTATTAGTCACCAATATATCCTTCAAAAGTGGTCCTATTTGGGTTTAGTATAGGGATATTCTTGGAATAGTCCAACCTCCAATATATAACCAAATATGATCTATTTCATTATTCCTAGTAGATCTCAATGTCTCTCACTCCCTCTTCAATTCTTTCACATCCATATAACTTAGTACAATTTTGATTCAAATATTATTCATGTGTTGTACACATCACATAAGATTTTAATAGTTTCCTAAGCCTATGGAAAGATTTCCCATTGCTCTCTCCCTTTTCGTTTTTATCTATTTTTTTTTTCTTATTTTCTATTCTTGTATTTCAAATTTCATAATCTAACATTTGACTGGTGGATGAAAAGTTTGCATATATAAATGTTAGATATATCCTAACCCATTAACTTAAGCTTTCGGGTTTATTGTTAAATATGCATATTTAACGTAGTATTAGAGTAGGAGGTCATTTTTCAAGCACACAAGTGAACGGGAGTATTAAATATCCATAAATGAATTAAATTTACTCTAATCCATCAGTTTAAGATTTTGGGTTTATTGGTGGTTTATTTATGTTTAGGAGAGACAGCGATGCTCGATTAATCTAATAATTTCTTTGCTGGTAATATATAATCTTTTGTTTTTAGAATGTTTCTATAAAGTTGGGGATCGAACTTAAATAAAAGGGCAAATTTGGAGGGGAAAAAAACAAATTAACCTAAATAGTAGAGTCACTTTAAATTTATTAGAAAGTGAAAAAAGAATTACTTTTTAAAAATTATAACAACATATACTAATATACTCTTCATTCAAATTGATATTATAAAATATATTCGTTCTATATTTTGAAAACTTTCAAAAGTTTTAATTATATATTTTTAGATTTTAAATTATACTTATTTTTTAGTCACTAACACCCGTGGATAAAAATAGACATCGAACTCAATGTTATAAAATTTGAGTAAGGTGATTGTGATCTGATAGTCAATTCAGACCTACATCATATTAAAACTGAACTAACAAAAATTCAATCGGCAAATATTATTTACTTTTACATTTAAGAAATTAGAGTTTAGAATGGAACGTACTGAAGTTAAAAAACACACCAAAACTTTTTAAAACCCGAAACAAAAACATGCCCCTAAATTCTAAGAAAACCCTAGACTTTCAAACAAATGTTCTTGGTTTTGTAAGGGAGAAACAGACACAAATTAACACAATAAAGTTTAATGATGTTTTTTCCCATAAATTTAGCAGAAAAACGTCATTGTCTTCCCTAACACTACAAATATATAAGCTTTTTTTAGGATCTTCCACTTGAATCTCCATCTCACATTTTCATTATAAAAAACAGTAAAGCTTTTGGCCAAAAAAAAGAGAAATGGTCCAATATTTTTTCTTCCTCTCAATGTCAAAGCCTTTGACTTTTTTCTTCATCGACAATATAATTTATAGGCTCAGTCAATTTTGTAATAATGTTTCCTCTTTTCTTTTTTTTCCCCTTCCATTATTCCACAATGCCAAAAAAATTAATTACAAAGTAAGTTGACAAAGCACTACAACATTACAAGGTTAGGTAAATGGGTTGCATGTGTGTAGGGTAATTAATTTATAAATTATAAATTAAAGCCAAATTAAACTACTCAATGGGGTCAAATATGGTAGTAATTAATTAAAATATGTTTGTATATTATATGGAGGGGTGGTATGTGAATAGACCAAACTTTTATTGAATTTGGCTTCCTTTGAGCATGGTTTTTTTTTTTTTTTCTGTTTCTTTTGTAAAATCTTTAACTCCCATAGTTTA